GGATGAAATACTATATGAGGGATGAAATACTATATGGGGGATGAATTACTATATGAGGGATGAATTACTGTATGAGGGATGAAATACTATATGGGGGGATGAAATACTATATGAGGGATGAAATACTATATGAGGGGATGAAATACTATATGGGGGGATGAAATACTATATGGGGGATGAAATACTATATGAGGGATGAAATACTATATGAGGGATGATGACTATATGAGGGATGAAATACTATATGGGGGGATGAAATACTATATGGGGGGATGAAATACTATATGAGGGATGAATTACTATATGAGGGATGAAATACTATATGGGGGGATGAAATACTATATGGGGGATGAAATACTATATGAGGGATGAATTACTATATGGGGGGATGAAATACTATATGGGGGATGAATTACTATGGGGGATGAATTACTATGGGGGATGAATTACTATGGGGGATGAATTACTATGGGGGATGAATTACACTATGGGGGATGAATTACACTATGGGGGATGAATTACTATATGGGGGATGAATTACTATGGGGGATGAATTACTATATGGGGGATGAATTACTATATGGGGGATTAATTACTATGGGGGATGAATTACTATATGGGGGATTAATTACTATGGGGGATGAATTACTATGGGGGATGAATTACTATGGGGGATGAATTACTATATGGGGGATTAATTACTATGGGGGATGAATTACTATGGGGGATGAATTACTATGGGGGATGAATTACTATATGGAGGATGAATTACTATGGGGGATGAATTACTATATGGGGGATTAATTACTATGGGGGATGAATTACTATATGGGGGATTAATTACTATGCTTACTATGGGGGAATATTACTATACTTACTATGGATGACACATACACATCATTCATCTACTCTTGGTCCGGCCCCCGGGTCCAATTATAAAATACTTTATTATTTCATAATAAAGTAATTATAAAATAATTTCTTTGTGTTTGATTCCTATTCAAGAGAATTACTTTATATATAGTCAATATAGGCACAGAGGTAAATTTTTTTAACATTTTCTAATGGTGGTGTGCCTCGTGATTTTTTTCATGAAAAAAGTGTGCCTTTGCACAAAAAAGGTTGAAAAACACTGCTCTTGAGGACTTCTTTTCTAGTGGGGTCTTACACACTTGTCCATTTTTCTACTACATTGTCTTGGCCCTGAGGACACTACCCATGGATTCGGGTTAGTCGGCATATTCATTATACATTTAGTTGTAATTTCTTGTGCTTGGGGATCCCATTTTAGTTTTTTGCTATACCACCTGCACCAATGAGCCTTGACCATGACCCTGTCACCAGCTTTTCCTTCCTTGGGCGACTTTTCAAAGATCCTGGCTTCTGCAGACCTGGAACACCCACAACAGCTAAAGTTTCAGAGATACTTTAACCCAGTAATCTAGCTATTATAATTTGGTCCATGTCAAAGTTGCTTAAATCCTTATGCTTTCCCATTTTTTTCTGCTTTCAATTCATCAACTTCAGAAACAACATGTTAACTTGCTAATAGATCCCACCAACTTTCAGATGTTATCGTGACAAAATAAAGTTATTCAGTTTACCTGTCAGTGGTCATACAGTTATAAGCTGATTGGTGTATATAAATACTAGAATACAGGGGTAGGCAACCTTTGAGAGGTGAAGAACTACCATGACAACAAGAAAGAGAGCAAAGACCCACCGGGGTGCCAAACCATTTCTTTTTTTAAGAGGTTAACTTGCAAGCCCCCAGAGGTCAGTAGGAGGTAGGGCAGTGTACAGAGGTCAGTAGCATGTAGAGCAGTGTACAGGGATCAATAGGGCAGATAACTAGGGTGAGCAGGACAGGGATTTGCAGGGCAGATAAGGTGTCAACAGAGCAAATGAGAACAGGCCAGCAGGGCAAAGGACAGAGAGTCAAGGAAGACCGTGAAAAGGGAGGGGGGGTGTCAGTAGGGCACAGTACTGGCGTTAGGGCATGGTACTGTGAATTAAGATGGCATAGCCCTGGAGGAAACAGGAGGGCACAGTACTGGAGAGCATGGGGGGCACAATATTGGGGAGTCAAAAAGGCATGGTATTGGGGGAGGTCAAGAAGGCACAGTCCTGGGGGCGTCAGGAGGGCAGGCTACAAATGGACGAGGAAGGTATGGTGTTGGGGGAGTCAGGAGTGCACATAAGCGGTTTCCTTATGTGGATCAACTTGTTCTAGTGTGCTGTATCCTACCAGCCCTCCTCTCTCATCACATGATGTAACCCAAACGTTGAGAGGAGGTCTGGGAGATCGGGGGGATAAGCTCAGGCGAGAAGACACCCGAACTAATCTCTGCTCCTTGGGGAGGGGGGAAGAGGAAGAGCACTTGGGGGTCGTCAGGGCAGGGGTTTGAACATGATCTACCGGTCACCTGCCGGAAGTACACAGGCAGTTCACAATCGATGGTTTGCCGACCTCTGCTATAATAGTATCACAAACAGAAAGACTAAACTCTTGCCCTAAGAGTACAGATGTATAATGTGAAGACATACAACTCCACATATCTGAATTTTCACCTTATCATAGCTTAGCACTGCTATACTGTACAAGCCTGTAGATGTTATCAAGTCTGGCAACTTCCTGTCAAACAAACAGACAGATCTGCACAGAACTACCCACTGCAACTTGTCTGGCTTTTAGCAAAGCCCTGAATGGATGAAGTTATGGGTTAATGCACTTACTAACATTGTTTCCTGAAGAAGACATTCATGGCAATACATGGCTCAGTTTATTTTTAACTTAAAATATAACTAAAAGGCAAAACTTTTTTTTGTTTTGGACAGAGTGGAGAGGAATTTGAATGCTTGTTAGTTTTCATTGCTGTCTGTGCCCCCGTGAAAGAGATTCACTGTTTGTCCTGTTTACCATTATCATTAAAAGTGAAGGTAAAGGAAAATCCCAATTTTGGGTTGTCCCCAGAAAAGTAATAAATGAGAAATCTTCCCAACAGGGTCACTAGTTCGGGTGCCTGGGCATCCCCAAGGAATTCCCTTAATTTGCAGGAATTTCCTCTCACTTCCTGTTTGGCTATGGGACAGGAAGTGAAATCTCCACAATGCTATTGGGGGGGAGATCATTAAATCGATGGGTTTAGTTCTGCTTTATAGTATAATTAAACCCACTGATCTAATAGTTTCCCAAAATGGTTACAGTCAAGGCATACTACTACAATTGATACCGGTCACAGTTGCTTGTATCCTCAGCAGAACTCATGTGGTTGGTGTCATAACTGATCATAACGGGGGGGGGGGGGGGGGTTAGACCATTAAATCGATCGGTTTAGTTCTGTTGTATAACAAAACTAAACCCACTGATCTAATGGTTTCAGTCAAGGCATGCCACAATTTATACCTGTCACAGTTGATTGTGTCCTCAGCAGAACACGTGGCTGATGTCATAACTGATCACATGTGCAGCACCATAGCAACTGCAGATCAAAGAGAGGCTAAGCTGACAGCTTCCTTGGCTGTAAAGGATAGGAGGGTTTAGTTCTGCTTTAACCGCTTGCTGACCCTATGCAGTGTTTTTACTGCGGCAGGGCGGCACAGCGCCGTCTTTTAACGTCACTGTGCAAAACAGGTAGGGGGCGCGCGCAAGGAGTGTGCCCGCCCTACCCGTCCCGCCAATCGTGGCAGCGGGTGTCCGTCACCAGCTCCCGGCGCGTCATTTCCCGCCCGGTGCCGATTACAAGTAATCACTGACAGATTGCAGAGCTGCAATGTAAACAATGCAGCCGTGCTGTCAGTTCAGAGCACGCTGAACCTGAGAGAAGACTATCTCGCGGGATCAGCGTGCTCCTGTGAAGTACACACCCCCGCCCCCTAGTAAAAACACTCCCCTCACACAGTTAACCCTTTCTTTAATAAAAGTTAACCCCTTCCTCCCCAGTGCCATTAGTACAGTGTCAGTGTTTGTTTTTTTTTTGCACTGATCACTGTATTGGTGTCACTGGGGATGTCAGTGACCCCCAAGTCAGTTCCCCCCAGTGTCAAAATGTCCGCCGCAGTCCCGCCATAAGTCGCTGATCACTGTCATAAATCGCTGATCACCGCGATAAGTCACTGATTGCCGCCATTATTAGAATAAAAAAAAAAAGCTCTATTTGTGTGAAAAAAAGGACGTAAATATCATTTGGGTGCAGCACTGCATGACCGGGCAATTATCAATTATCAGTTGAATTAGTGCAGTGCCGAATAGCAAAAAGAGGCCTGGTCAGAAAGGGGGCAAATCCTCTGGAGGGCAAGTGGTTAAGAACGAACTAGAAAGCTGCCAATTGACACATCCCTCTCTGAGCATTTATATTTTATCACAGGTACACATACAGAGGTGTCAGTCTATGCAGCACTTTACATATATATTGTACATTCACATCAGTCCCTGCTCTCTAGGAGCTTACAATCTAAGGTCCCTGACTCACATTCACACACATGCCAAGGCCAATTACCTACCAGCATGTGTTTGGAGTGTGGGAGAAAACCACATAGGTACAGGGAGAACATGCAAACTCCAGACAGTGGTTGGGATTTGAACCAACAACTCTAGTGCTGCAAGGCAGAAGTGCTAACCACGTTGCCACTGTGCTGTCCCTATTTACTGGGGCCCTTTGACTACATGAGCTCCTTTATGCACAATGTAAACTAACCCTTCCACATAAATGCACATTTTGCTTGTTATTAATGTGGTGGGGGGTCCATTTCCTTTTTGCAAAGGTGGACTATCCCTTTAAGGAGGGGATGGAGCAATTTAAGCAGTCATAATCTGTACACAATGGCCATGCTAGAAAATTCCAGTCTCAGGCTGATGGTAAAAGGCAGGCAGGTTGGATGTGAGGCTTGCCCATAACATGGAGGGTGTGTGTTGTGTGTGCGGTAGGCGCAGCCCGGCTATCACTGGGACACATCTAGCTTCAGGCCGCTCCCCACCCCACTGATAACCCCGCACTCACCAAAAATCAGCGCCATGGCCAGCACGGCCTCCCACGGCCTCCTGTGTCCGGCTCTCTCCATTCTCCTAATCTCCTGAGTCTCACTGAAAACAGGGAAGCGTCTATAACAGCCAGCGGCAGAGCCGGAACACCGTGCCAGGACACACACCGTACACTCCACTGCCAGGAACCTCACACACATACACAAGTCATATGAAGAGACGTCACCGCATCACGCGCTCGACCGAAGACCCCGACCACAAGAGGCCGCCCTCTTCCGAGCCGCCATTTTACAGAAGACCAATGCTGCCTCGCCTGACTACACAACAGGCATAACCTGCCCAGGGTGGAGATTTACAAAATACATTCGTGAAATTCTTTTCGTACAGCAGCACTTTCTGTTTGCTTTGGTTTAACCTCGGAAATGTAACGAAAAAAGGAAAAGCAAGAAATGAGAAATAGTCGAGGGCGTGGTTTATCCAGGAACGGTGTAGTCTGCTAGTAATAGGGCTGCAGTTAGTATTACATTGAGCAGAAGGCTACCAGGAACAGGCTGCTCAGTAAATTCACAAAGGCCTCATACACATGAATGTATCGAGAAATTCCTCTAACAGGCAAAAAGCTTAAAGGATACGGTCAACTTTAAAAAAAAAATGCATTTTTTTTTGTAAGTAAAATAATGTGAATTTATTATTTTTGGTTTCTGGAGCCTCTAAAGCAGGAGGTCTACAAATGTTCTAAAGAAAGGGCCAGTTTACAGTCCCTCAGACCTTAGGGGGCCAGACTGTGCCCAGTGGGCATAAACAATGCTTGATTTTTTTGGTATTAGGAGGAGAAATTTTTTATGTCCGTGGGAGAAACAGTGCCCCATTTTTGTTGTCAGTGGCAGGAATTATGCCCCATTGTTGGTGTCAGTGGCAGGAATTATGCCCCATTGTTGGTGCTGGTGGTAGGCTTTATGCCCCGTTGTTGGTGCCGGTGGCAGGATATATGCCCCGTTGTTGGTGCCGGTGGCAAGCATTATGCCCCGTTGTTGGTGCCGGTGGCAGGATTTATGCCCCGTTGGTGTAGGTGGCAGGATTTATGCCCCGTTGGTGTAGGTGGCAGGAATTATGCCCTGTTGTTGGTGCCGGTGGCAGGAATTATGCCCCGTTGTTGGTGCTGGTGGCAGGAATTATGCCCCGTTGTCAGTGGCAGGAATTATGCCCTCTTGTTGGTGTCAGTAGCAGGAATTATGCCCCATTATTGTTGTCGGTGGCAGGAATTATGCCCTCTTGTTGGTGCCGGTGGCAGGAATTATGCCCCATTGTTGGTGCCGGTGGCAGGAATTATGCCCCATTGTTGGTGCCGGTGGCAAGAATTATGCCCCGTACTTGGTGTCTGTGGCAGGAATTATGCCCCGTTGTTGGTGTCCGTGACAGGAATTATGCCCCGTTGTTGGTGTCCGTGACAGGAATTATGCCCCGTTGTTGGTGTCGGTGGCAGTAATTATGCCCCGTTGTTGGTGTCCGTGGCAGGAATTATGCCCCGTTGTTGGTGTCCGTGGCAGGAATTATGCCCCGTTGTTGGTGTCTGTGGCAGGAATTATGCCCCGTTGTTGGTGTCCGTGGCAGGAATTATGCCCCGTTGTTGGTGTCCGTGGCAAGAATTATGCCCCGTACTTGGTGTCTGTGGCAGGAATTATGCCCCGTTGGCGTCTCTGGCAGGAATTATGCCCCATTGTTGGTGTCGGTGGCAGGAATTATGCCCTATTGTTGGTGTCGGTGGCAGGAATTATGCCCCATTGTTGGTGTCCGTGGCAGGAATTATGCCTCATGGGCTGGATAAAAGCAAGCAAAAAGCCAAATCTGGCCCCAGGGCCGCAGTTTAGAGTCCACTGCTCTAAAGCATTGTGCCAGCGATCACTGGTGCCACGCAGGTCTCCTGTAGACCTATTGGTGTGTGTGTGTGCTGTACATCCCATACAGACAAGCAGATATAATGAGAGGAAGACTCAAATCACCACAACGCTCCACAGCGCCCTGGTAGTTCATTGAGAACTACAAGCCGACAACCACTAAGGCTGTTGGAACTGGCAGTGCTCTCATTCACAGAATACTGTGAATGAGCAACGGGGGTGGAGCCCCACACAGCTGTGTTTTTTTTTTTTTTTTAAATTGTGACAACTAGCAGGGAAGAGAAGATCCCCAGTAGCTGTCACATCGGGGAGAAGCGGGGGGCCGGTCTGTTGTTAACATGTTACATAAGGTGAACTTATCCTTTAAAAAAAATACTTGTTTTGTCATGTAAGTTGTATGTTTATATAGCGTTTAGACATGTATGCACATAAACCCATTCTGTTGGCTAGAATATTCCGTTATTGTAGCCACTAGAATGAGGTAACACTTGTTCAGTTGCATTTGTGTGCACTTAAAGCTGGTTCACACCACAAAAACGCACTCCAGATCAATTCCAGATACGTTTCTACATGCACAGTTTTAACACATTTTTGATGCGTTTCCAGATGCCTTTTGTCTTGAGTTTCATTGTATTGGGGTCCAAGTGCATTTTTTTATGTGTTTTACCGTATTCCAGTACAGCCCAGTGCAGGAAAAATTCAGCATATTCTTTTTTTTTTTGGAAATGGAACGCCCTGGAACTAGGTTTTCACCTCATCCCTTCAAAACCGAACACATATTATTTCACAATTTCTCTGGCTGATTGAGGTGGTAATTAAACTCACTTAGTCCCCGGTCACATCAAAGCCGATTTTGAAATCATGCAACTTACAGTGAAGTTGCACGATTTCAAAATATCAGTTTCGATTTGCAAGACTTCTGACAAAGATGTCTATGGAAATCGCAACAAAAGTAGTACATGTACTACTTTAGAAATTGGTGCGGAACTGCACCAATATTACTGCTCTAACAGCAGACAGTCGGGTGCGACTTGTGCGGGTGCAACAAAAACTGTAGCTGCTGACTTTTAAAATACAGACACTTACCTGCCCCTGGGTCCAGTGGTGTCCTCACATCTGCTGGTTTCACCAGCAGTCTTCTCTCCCTGGCGCCGACATCTTTAGTGTGGGCACCTGGCTGTGACAGCTTGCGGCTTCACAGCTAGGTGCCCACTGTGCATGTGTGAGAAGCGTTGCGCTTTGTGAACGGTCCCGTAGTCTTCTGGGACCTGTCACGTGTCCCAGAAGACTACGGGAAGGGAGGACAACTTTCACTTCCGATCGCCTAGGCGATCACAGTGGAAGTGGGAGTACCTGTCAAATTTGTGTAGCAAAGGTGCCAATCCTTAATGGGGAGCGGGGGATGATGGATTAAAGCAGAACTTCACATTTTGGGTGGAACTCCGCTTTAAAAATGAAATAGTGTTTTCAGTTTGTGATGCTTAAATGCAGTTAAGATCCGCTTAAGTTGTAAGATGTTTCACTATTTTTTCCTGTCTTTATAGCTTATTAGAAGACCAGCATGTTTTTCACTATGAATTTTAATGGATTTATGCATTATATACACATACTGTATATGTTATTGGTTAATATATGCAGTATTATTTGGATTGATCATTTAGATTATCTGGGGTTATCATTTGTGCTGTAATCATTTATTGATTAAATTGAATAGGCACCAGATGGATCAGTAGTGATGCTGATCTGACTATGTGCAACAGAAGTGCTGAATGATGGTCAAAAAGGTTTTTACTAAAACATTTTTATGACCATCACAAGTACCCTATAACAAGGGGTATTTAGGTTACCTTCTGCTGGTAAAATGGAACACCACTTAAATTGTGTTTTTGGATTTTATCAGGAAATGATAGAACCTCTATCAGGCTTTTATTGCTGTCAGGCTGCCCATTCTGCACATATTCCTTCACTTCCTGTAACTGTGGAAAAATTGTCTCCTGGACAGAAAGTGAAAAGAAATCCGCCTGATAGGGATGAAATAGCAATTAAAACTTTTTGAAAGTAGGGTCAAGAAGGGCCTTCTTTTGAAGCAGCAATATATTTATTTTTTTCTGACCTCCGAAACAGATTAATTGGTGTTCAATGCATTTACAAATTCATTTTTAATCATGTCCTTGTACAGTATTTATGCCTTTAAAGTGCACTTTATAAAGAGTTTTGAACAGATAAAAGACTTTTTTTTTTTTTTTTTTTTTTTTACTTTTTTTCTGACCTCCGGAATGGATTAATTGGTTTTCAATGCATTCCTATGGGAAACCGCATTTCGGTTTACACATTTTTCGCAATAAAAAAGTCCCGCAGAACGCATTAAATTTGTAAACCGAGGTTCGCCTGTATATATATATATATATAGGTGTCTCTAGGCCTTGAAGAATTGTAGACGTTACTATCCTGTTTATGATAACTTATGACACACCTAGGGGCAGACTGACAACTCATGGGGCCCCTGGGCAATAGGGGATCATGGGGCCCCTGTGTCCTCGCCCACACCCAAAAAAGCCTAGGAAAAAGACAATGAAAGGTACCAGGGGCATCTCATGGGGCCCCCTACTGACCCCGGGCCCTCGGGCAGTGCCTAAGTGCTCAAATGGTCAGTCCACCCCTGGACACACCACATCATGGTTTATTGTAATGTATTCTGATTGATACTTTATAGAAACTGCCTGAAATATTCAGCTTGATCACTATACTTAAGCTCAAGCCATAAAGATCTGAGTTCTGCATCTCAAACTTTAGTGTCCGACTTGCATTATTCACAAAGTACTTTGTATCTGGAATGATTGGATGGAGAGAGCTGGCATAACATTGAGTTTCTAACTGCAGCCTGTATGCTTTTTTACACAGTGCTACTCACCTTAGTGCATAGAGCTGAATGAAGTCCCATTTTGTGCCACTTTACTAAACTTAAAACCAAGTAAACAGTTTGATGTGTTGCAACAAGGCATTGCACCATTTCTACACCATGCACATCAAGTGTTTTAGCATGTGGGCTGGTGTGAACAAGCCCTTACAATTACTGTATTAAAAATAAAATCCCAAGACATCATTTTATTTACGTTAAAGAGGAACTATACTCACCTTGAATCCAGTGATGCTCCATTCCCGGAACTCACCACCAGCTTTCAGTTGTTTGTCACCAGCCGCTATCATTTGCTGGCCAGAGATGACGTCACTCCCGCGCATGTGTGGGAGTTCCGTCAGATTTGGCATTGCCAGATTTGTGCAGTGATCTGGCTTGCACAGCTTAC